GTCTGATCATTTCCACCTCCATATTTTTTTACTTGGACTACACTAAAACGCTTGGCCTTTAGTCTGAAATAGCAGGATTGTTACTGACCGGTCCAGATCCAAAATACACACTGTACCTTTGTACTGGTAGCAGTGTAAACATTCTCTAGATGTTGAAGTGCAGATTTGTTTCATTCAGTTTGATTTATATAGTGTCAAATCAAAACAAGGGTTGCTTCAAGGTACTTTATACTGTAAGGTAAAGACTCTACAACTAGGGCTGAGCCATATCATACCGTTCACGGTAATACCTGTACAATGTTAGGCAACAATAAGAAAATAAAATATCGCAATAGAATATGAGTAAAACGCGCATCTTTTCATACGCACATGGCCGAAAAAGCATGGCGGCAACGGAGAATGAGAAGGGGGAAAGCCGATCGTTGAGTGAAACAGATGAACCAGAATTAGTTTGTAAAAATGGTGCAGCTCCAGTGATGTGGAACTGGTTTGGTGTTTGTCCGTCAGATACACAACAAAGCACTTTTTTTTTGTACAATATGCCGTCGTTAACGGGCCGTCGTTATTGCCGTATTTGTCGGACTAAGGTGCTCGTAAATCTGGGTCCAAGACTCCGTCCGCTTCATGTCCCAAAGTCAAACGAACACTGCAGCATCACAGTGTTGCTGCTTTACCAGGTGTAACTATGAAGTTTAACATCCAGGCATCCATGAAAACAGAATTTATTACATTTAACGGAGTTAGAAGTTAGCAGGAAGCTAGCGGAAGTTAGCTCGCTAGTTTCGCTAGTTACCTAAGCATGATATAGCATGTTCTGACTGAGAGATTTCTGAAAAATAATCAAACGTACAGCTCTGCTATCACTTCCAACATAAATGAAGACAGGAAACTAAACAGCAGTGAGTTTGTAGGGTTACTGAAGTTGGGCTAGCTGGTATATAATGATGTGCTACGTGATCGCTAGCGACACAGCTATGTTAGCATAACATAAACAGTGAAGCTGGAGGATGAACACTAACTTTTTTCCACTCAATAAAAGTTAACGTGAAGGTTCCTATGGTTAGAGACAAATGCAATCGCATGGCAGGATGCTGTAAACGGACCAAACTTCAGTCAGGAGAACAACTGAGATAATCCATCCACAATACGAGGTTAGTCATTAATATACTGCAACAACATGGGAATAGAGCAGCTGCAGAGAATTCAACATTAATGAATCAATGGTACAGAAGTGGAGGAAGCAAGAAGAATGAGTTGAATAAAGTTTGATTTATCTGACTGCTTTGTTTCGCTTAATGTGCCTTATAATCCCGTGCACCTTATGGTCCGAAAAATACGTACTATTGCACACTGCAGTTTAATGTTGCAAAGCACCTCTTTTTAACTTCAGTGGATATTATACATGGTTATGCTCAGGATATGTCAGCCCATTTCTACTGGAAATGCCTTTTGGTTAAACTTTCAGCAAGGAATTTGCATTTGCACTGTTAAAGTTTTATATAGCTTTAATGCACATGAAAAACAGCTGCTTGTTTAAGTGAAAATAAATGGATTTTTTTTTGCGCTAGTAAAGTTGTGGAATTGTATTTTGTCTCGCATCAATTATATCGTCAGTTATATCGTTATCGCAAAGTTTCAAATATATATCGTGATAAAAATTTTTGGCCATATCGCCCTGCTCTATCTACAATAATACTGAGTAAATGCCCACCTCCTATGAACAAGCATCTGGCAACAGTGGGAAGAAAAAAACTCCCTTTTAACAGGAAAAACCTCCAGAAGAACCACTCAGGGAGGGGCGGGGCCATCTTCTGTGATCAGATGAGGGGAATAAACAGCACAAAAGACACACTGTGGAAAAGTGTCAGAGATGAATAATAATGATAAAATGCAAAGTGTTGCACAAACACAGAGAGTGGAAAGCAACAGTTGCACCTGGATCAAACGATACCTGCGAGTTTTATCACATCGGTTTTTCCCTCCGTTTCAGAGGTGATAAGAATGAAACCAATGAAATGTTGGCATGCTTCAGCTTCTACAAACTGTCAGGGTCCAACAAGTTGCAGTGTTGTTTTTGCCCTCCGGGGCTCAGCGCTCATTACGTGACTCACCAGCCGAATCATCTGAACACTTCTGAGCAGCACACCACAAACATCTGTTTCACAGACAGGATCTATTTTGACTGTTAAACATACAGAGAGCGTTTCACACACCTTCACAGCAGCAGTGATTTAAGCTGCATGAACTTAACATGCATTGATCTGCTTATATCACTGACGTTAAACTTTCCAGCTCTCAGTGTCAACCATGTTATTACTTCCTCCTTGGCCTTTTTCAGTCCAACATTTCTGACCTCACACACACAAGACGACAAGCCAGCATGTGGTGAGTAGTCCTGAGGCAGAGGTCTTTTATCAGAGCATTTGCAGCCGGAGCCCCCGGGCCTGCCTGAGGACACGAGACCGGCTGAGTCTGGGACTTCTTTTAAATATCTTCTTAAAAGGTACTTTTATCAGACAGATGAATGATTTTATTTTACTTGAGGTTATTTTCGCCTGGATTGGTTTGATCTGTCTTAACATCTTCAGATTCTGTGAGCGTGCTTAAGCTATAGATTATAAAATGATCAGATCAAGGCATAAAACCTGTCACTGTTCTGACAGACAGCAAACACAACAGCAAACACTAGTAAATAAATATAAAAATGATGCCTTCTGGAAACTGTCCAGCCTGAACCGCCTGCTGCTAAATACTCTCCAGGAGAAGGGCAATGCATCTCAAATGGCTCTATTGTCTTCCCCGAATGAACTCAGCGTTTCTGTCTTCCTTCTGTGAACAGACACAAGCACACACACTCACTGTGCTCGTGCTGGATGATGTGCTGCACCATGTGAATCGTTTTCACCGAGAGCATCACCCAGCCGATCCTCACCTGCGCTGACGATCAGCTCCCAGACCGACTCCCTCTGTGCCACATGCCGAGCTGTGTATCTGACCTCTGCCCCAGTTCCCCGATCAATCTCAGGTCACGAAGCATTCGAGCGCTTGAAGATTAGTCACTACAGCCCTCACAGCAGATCAATGAAACCAAGAAGAGCACATTCACAAGGAGGCTCGCGCTGTTTATCTTAGCACTTGGCTCAAATGAGTCATCGTCACCATCACACATTATTTGTTATTAAAGCCAGCAGGAGCCGCTCACTCAGGGGCCAGCATCTTCATCGCTGTCTGTGTCTAATTCATAGCGCTGCTTTGAAGCTAAGCTAGGCTGTGGATCGCTTTTTGATCATTTTTCTATTATCACTGTAACAACGTCGAGCTTAGAATAAGGCGCCGTTTTACCTCATAAAACCATTAACGCTGACACTGTTCAGAGAACTGCAGTCAGCTTTCTAACTTGTGCTCAGTCAAAACTGTGACACAAACACAAGACTGTTCAGAAACATATTTGGCAGTGAAGTTACAGCTGGGTGACCAACTTCCTCCATGTTGGCCCTTACAGTAAAAGAAAATGCTAGCTGCACAGTTTGATGTGTGCCACGGATCACATTAACTAGTCTTAACAAGTCGTTTGGGGAGCTGGTCAGATCACCGCAGACAGTTTAGAAGGTGAACACAGAAATGCCAAAAAGCAGCACTTTTTTAATGGCCACACAGTCAAATACCTGCGGTTTAACAGCACTGCTGAGAAAACAGTGGTTGGCCGTGACCTTTGGAAACACCTTCCAGAGCCTCAAACTTTGATTTTGTATCATTCTGAATAAAAAGTTGTGATTTTTTTGTAGAGCTGGGCAGAGCATAAACGAGTAAATAAATAACTGCAATCACGGGCATAACTTCATGGCTATTACAAATGTTAGGCAAATATGTTTATGGTTTGTGTGTCTGTGTGCTTCATGTGTCTGACAGAAAGAGAAGAAGACACCCAACGTATCGGAATACTGAAATGCTATCGCTCTTAAAACCCCTGTATTAGTCTGGCCCAACATCGCCAGCTTTAACCAGCATTCCCAACCCTGGTCCAAAACACCCATGACTGACATGTAATCAGCCAATAAATGTCCACCCCTCCCTCCTCACATGGCAAGCAGCTTTAGGCTTCCTAACTGGACATCACTAACCAGTGGGTGACATCTTGATGGCTACACACATACTTAGCTAGTCTGCAGGTATCTGCTGATGGTTTCTAATGTTAGCTGATAATGGGAGGATTTAGTTGGCAGGCTTCACATTCACAGGCACCACTGACAATACTGGGTAACGACTTGTGACTGACACACAATAAGCCCATCTCTGATAATTCTTCCTCACTCTAATGACGACCACTTAATGTTCCACCTGACCGTAACTTTTGGATTCACCTGTTCATCGCATATTTACTCTAACTGGAATCAAACCTTTGAATGCATCTTTTTCATTCATTACAAACATTCAATACTGAAGACTCAACAGTAACACCAGAGGAACAGTTTGTAACATCAATGCAGCTCAATTAATGTCATCATTTATTATCATTAGGGCAAATTATTGCTCCTGTCACTTATAATTGAAAGATAACTGCGTAGAGGCTTTACCGAGACAGATGTGGGCATTTATTTGAGTCTTGCTTCTAGAGCGACTGCAAAAGTAACCAAACAAACATGTTTTATTTGAGCTTCACATTCACTTAAACCTGCTCTGATCATTTTTCTTGGAAGGAGCTGACCTCTGGCTTTCGTTAATCTTGTAAAGTTTCGATGAGGTAACGAACACGGTGTGTGTTCATCGCCTCTGCGATCATTTGACTCTCCCTCGGATTGAGGAGCACCTTAGCATAACGCTAACTGGCCCACATCAGTTATGCTTCGTGTAGTACCAGCTGACTGTAATACTACGTTTCTAGCGATCAGTGAACCCTGTTTGATTACCACTGCCCCCCGTCCTAACCTCTCCGCTGTACCCTGCTGTAAACAGCCGTGCGTCAGCGTCACCGCAGCAGCGGAGCAGCTCTGCGCTCTTACCTCCGAACAGATGAGGCGAAAGGTGTGCTGGTAATGATCCAATCAACAGCCGGGGAACTTCTTGCCCTCCGCCCGAGCGCTCCCTGTCCGCCGCCTCCTCTGGGCTGCTGCCGCCGGACTCCGGGGAGCTGTAGCCCCCGCCGCTGTTGGGAATGTTAATGCCAGAGTGGGGTCTTAAACTCGAGCCCCCAACAGACCTGGCCCTGGCTCCGATCTGCTGGCTGGTGCTGGGTCCGGAGGCTCCGGACGCACCGTGGTACCTCGCCCCCCGGGCGGCAGTCCTGCCAGCGCTGCTGCCGGACGTGCTGGAGGGCAGGTCCGAGCCGGAGTAGGCTCTGGTCCGTCCGTTAGCAGCTGGGTTAGCAGTGGGGCTGCTCTGCTTTGCCCCCATGTTAACCTCTGATTCGGATATGAAATATTAACGAGGCGCTGTGCGAGCTCGCTGCGGGACAGTACGCCAGATTTCCGCCCGAGGCAGATGGCTTTACAGGACACAGGTCCTGGAAGAAGAGAAAAGCACACCAAACTCCGCGTCGCTACGATACCATCGAGAATCGACAACTGCCAGTTGGTGAAAAGTTAAAGCGGCCGCGCGTGACCAAAGCTGGGGATGTGCGGAAAAGTTTAGCAGACGTCACCATTGTATTCCGTCAGTAACGGTTCTAGAGGCTGTGCTGCAGGTGAGAACGTGGGTCCTTCCTTGTGCGCTGAGCCGCTCCTGGTGACCCGCTGTGCTCCGGCCGCTGGGTCGTCCTCAGTACCCCCTCCGCCATGGCTCCCGAGCCGCGTGAAGCAGTGAAGAGTGGCGCTCCTCACACCCCCCTGCCTCACAACACATTGCTCAGTAGAAGGAAGTGATGGAGGAGAAAGTCCTGCACTGAACCGTTTTAGCGGCGGCGGCAAGGAGACTTGCTGCGCAGGCTAGCTGCCAAGCTAGGCAGGCTCACGGGGACTTCCGCCCAGAAGTTTCAAAATAAAGCCTTTGCCGAGTTTAACTCCCCACTGCACATCACAGATGCACCAGGCACCAAAGCCTCTTTAGCAGTAGTTTAATGTTATTAAATAGCCACAAAGTGGCAATTTATGCATTTAAATAAGTAAGCACAAATAATAATATACATTTCAGGTATCTCAAATAAAAGTACTTCTTATTCAGAATCACACAAGTTATGTTATAATGACTGATTAGTTAATGTAAAACTCTAATGTTGATTTTACATGCTGTATGTACTTCTGAGTAGCGTTATCTGTAACACTATAGACTAAGTGTATCAAAAAGATCCATCCGATTTCAAGAGGTGCTTACATACAGAACTTACAACGTCCGCAAGCGCTCGATGTATCCCCCTCTGGACACACAGCATATGTCCAAACTTAGAACTTTTGAGAGTCAGGAGTCACTGCAGCCACCGCTGTTGTTATGCTACCTACCGGCAACCACGTGAAACTCACAGATCCCCTCTTTCTCAAAGAACATATTTAGATTCATCAGTGGAATTAAAGTTTGTGGCGTGAATAAGGCACGGCGGGACCACGGAGCAACGTTCAGAGCCAACTTTATTTAATTGACGTCACACCACACAACCACCAACCCCCGAGTCCCCGTGTTTTAACACGGCGGGCGTGATTGCGGATGCCGTGCAGGTGCGTCCGCACGGCACCGCAAACCACGCCCCACCACAAAGTTATATTTCACAACTGGTCCTTTCCATCCTCATCTCTTGGTTTGGGGCAAACTAACAGGAACTCACTAGAAGCAGAGAATCCTGAAGTTCATCAGAGATGACGGCAGATGATGGCATTTTTTCAGAGATAGAGTCAGAGTGCAACAAAATGAGAGTTTTGCCTACTTTTGTAACCTGCTTAAATGTGCATGTGGCACGTGTCAGTGATGATGCTATAGCAGTTTTTTTAAAGTGACCCCTTTGGGGTTAACATATTCTTATTCAAATGAAAGTTTAGATAATGCTTCAACAGGTTTGTTTCTAGAAAAACTGCAAGAGTAGCCAATACCCCCAGGTTTTATCCAAGCTTTGTATTTATTTTTAAGTATTTACTTTGAAGATGAACACTAATAGAGTGATACTTGGAAAAAAATAAAACAAATATTTCTGCTTGAAATGTTACTTTCCTCATTATCTATTTCCAAGTTTCTTATGTTTATGACTCAGTAATTCAGTTAAATAAGCCAGGGTTGTATTTTATTAGACTGAATTCCAGACAAAGACATGAATTTTGATATGTGGCAAGCTGAAGCGTTTACTGTTTGTTTCACACTGAGCCTTGTTTTCACACCAAACAACTCATCTTCATGTCACTTGCAATGTGTGCTATAATGCAGAGAAAGTAAAATATGCAACGTAGCTCTAAAGCATATACTCGCCTTTTCAGCACTTCACACCATAAAGCCTGAAAGACCCTTAAATTACATTACATTACAATCTAGTTAGTAACATACAACATATTAAGCACACATTTAATGTGAATATAGTGTTGTCTTCTGTAAGAGTCATGTACACTTGGCACTTACAGTTTCACATCACATAATGAAATTGTTGTGATTTCTGCCTGATGCCTGACCCTTCATTGATCCTGGATGAAGGGGCGTAGCTGCCTTTTGTGTCAGGTGTGCACTAGGCCTGATCAGATTCACCCAACTAGATCAAAGTGATCTAGTTGGGGACTCCATAATCTGGTTTTAGAACTGAAGAATCCTCTTCAATGAGAGGTGAAATGTGTTCACAAGTGAAAGGAAGCCCGGTTTGCAACATTCAGAAAATAAGTGCTACAGTTTTGGTGAGTGAAATTCTAGAATTTTACTGGCCGGTTACTTAAGCTGCATCCACATTGGAAGTGATGAGACACTTGGTGGTTCTTTGTGTCTGGGGGTGGGCGTCCAGGTACACACCGGCTCACTCCTTGGCGGCCGCTTATCGGGGCCTGGAGCCTGGGGCTCGCTCGGGCCACTTCGGAGGTGGGGTGCCCCCGGCCTCTCAGGCACAGCTGGCTGCCGGCGGAGCTCACGGGCTCGTCACTGCAACTCCCCCTGGCTTCTGCTCCGCGGCTGCTGAGTGAGCCCTCATCTGGGACTCTCCTCAGCTCTTTCTGGGACAGTGGCGCGGCTGCCCCTCTGTTGGTCTTCCTTGGTCTCTTGTGTTCTGGGGGCCTCTGGATGTGTGGAGTCTTGATCTCCTCCATACCTGCTTCATGCCCTGGAGGACGGGGCTGTGGCCCCCCCACATCTGTTGATCTTATGTGCTGCACAATAATGTTTAATATTTAGTATTTACTGTCATATTCCCATATATCATTGTGATGCTGTTTATTCTATTACTCTTGTTCTCTTCTGCTTGTTTTCTTTTTTCTTTCTCAGCAGGTGATCCAGGTGATTGATATATGCATTTTTTTTTCTCTGCTCGTTCTGTTGGTTTTTGTCTTTTGCCCTTCTCCCCCGTCCCTCTTCTCAGCTGTTTCTCTTTCCCTCTTTCTTTCTCCCCTTCTTTCCTCCAGTCAAGTCTGTCCCGTATTCAGTAAGTGAAAATAAAATAAACAATAAAAGGTGAATCAAATGGACCATTACGGCAAGGCTGGGATGGTCAGTTTGGTAAAGTAAATCCGTTGGGCATCTTTCTTTGCCTTTAGACAACAATTCTGATGCAAAAGAGCCAAACGGGACAGGCCAAAAAAAAAAAAAAAAGGAAGTGATGAGACAATAAAAATAAAAGCTTCAGCAAAATACCTGCAGGTACAGGGAATAAAGTGGCACCAAAGAAGCCAACTTTTCCCAGCTTCCAGGTGTGTGATTGAAGCAACTACGAATGAGGGTGACATACACCGCTGATCGACATATGACCTGGTAGTAAATACATTAGAAGGTTACCTAGGCAACCGGAGCCTGGGAACTCTGTAAGCGACTGAGGGATGTGTGTCTGTGTGAGGCGTCCACACAGGTTTTGGGTGCAGCTTGTGAACTAAGATTGGCAGCGTTAAATAAACTTAGTTTGGTACCCTATTGTCTAAATAGGGTCACAGCAGTCACACGACATGCTGTCAGCCAAACCATGAATGATAATGATTTCAAATCTAGAGGTCACAATCATGTGAGTGATGTCATGGTGGCTACATTGATCTTTTTTCCCACATGATTTCACCTGCAGACTTTAAAAGACGTGACCTTGTGAAATCGTGACAGGGAACCCGTTCCTCTTTTGATGTGACTGTGTGTTAGACAATTTTACCTGTTTTATTGTTGTAATTTTGAATGTGGATGTTAGTGTTTATGTTGTATCACTGACTTCTCCTGAGGCTTTTTCATCGTGGCCTTTCTCAGCTTCCACAGCTGACCGGGAGTGGCATTTTGGCACAGCACACAGACACATACCAGTGAAATTAGATGCAAGGAGCAGGACCCTCTATACAGCAGCCTCTAAATAACCACGAAGGATCTCTGTTGGGTGGTTGATGGAAAAAACGGTTGTTGTTTGAGTCTCTTTCTATTGTAGGGTCTTTGTCTTATAGTACAAAGTGCCTTGAGGTGACTGATGTTGTAAATTCGGAGGTTATAGTTCTATGAGAGTATAACTGTTAGTGTGTGTGTAGATAAAATTGAAATACACTACTAAAAAAATCACAACAGCAAAAAAGAAGGGGACACTTGAATAATCTTAGCTTTTAGTTTGATTTTGAATCCGGCCCTAAAGGGACTGAAGCTCATCTGATGTGTGATTTAACTGTTTTTTTTCTAGCAGTGTATACTCAGTCTCAGGTAATTCTACCTGGATACACTATTTGCAGTTCTTCTGGCTAGTTTGAATGAAATAATATTGATTGTACTTACTTTGAGTTATCAGTATTCTTTGCCTGGATATTAAGAAGTAAAGTGGTGCATCTTTGATTTTCCTAAGCAGAGAACATTTATCTAATGGCAGGTGCAAAGACTAAAAGTTCATGTTTGACTTAATGCCATCACCAGTGTGTGAATGTGTGCGTGAATGGGTGGATGACTGGATGTGTAAAGCGCTTTGGGGTTCTTAGGGACTAGTAAAAGCGCTATATAAATACAGGCCATTTACCATTTACCATTTAATGTGGCTAAGCTGTGCTCATTATTTCCCTTTGTGAGTTTGCTAGAAACACGCCTAAGCTGAGACTCATGTAGTGATTAAAATGCATTTTTACTATAATTTCAAGCTAATTTGACAAATCCCTTCTGCACATGCCAAATAAAAAAGTCAGAAGCTATAAGGCGTTCTTCTTTTATTATTGCTGTTGTTGTTGTGATCGTTATTTCTAAGGTTATTTTACATGTTTAAATGTTCTTAAGAAAAGTTAACTTATCAAATTCTAAAGACATATTTGCAGCATTATTATACAGTGTGCAAATCTGCCCAATATACTACAGTATGTGATGTTGTGCATGTGTGCTATCTGCTGAGCTATCAGCTGTCAATTAAAGAGATTAAATCACACCAGCTGAGACTGAATCTTCTGCTTTAGTGAAATAATACAGCACACACGTCATAGCAGTGTCATCTTTGCTTAAGACTTTATGTATTAGTCGGTACATGTACTAAACATTTCCCATATTACAGTGTAGACAGTCACACGACACTATGACACTTCCACAGAATAAGAACTACAGAACTGTTTATTCTGTTCAGCCTAGGCATAACACGCGGAAGTGGTGCTTTTATTTTGAAAACCAATGAGCTTGTTTTGGGTCTGACGGCGTAAACAAAAGAAGGCTTTAATAAATTTAGGACTAACACGTCGGGCGACGTCAGCAGCAGCGCAGCAACGTCATTAACAACCTGAGAGTGTCGTGGTACATTTATGGTCTTCCTTGTGAATCCCTCGTTCACGTTTGCAGCAGCATGCAGGTGGTGTTTGCCACGGAGACGCTTTTTCTGTAATTAGCTTGCTTCATGCCCGCCCTCACAGCTCTCACTGTACAGATAC